ACCTATCTATCTATCTATCTATCATTCTTCTTTCTATCTATCTTTCTATCTATCCAATTTTAATTTTATTTATTCAATTCTTTTTTTTTTTTTTTGCATATTTTATTTGTGATTGTATGTATTATTTCATCATGTACACTATCTCCTAACAGTTTTACATTGTATTCCATTTAAGAGACTTCTTCGCTTGTTAAATTTGCTCTTTGTAACAAGGATTACTTGAGGAAAGAAGTAAACAATATATTTACATGTTTTGCTTCATTCACTCAACCTTTATTTATACAGGTTAATCCCATTGAGTGGCGGGGACTCGCCCTCGATCAACGCTCTCATTTCAAAGATTTTCTGCCAAACTACTCAAATATCTTATTTAGATTTATAAGAAATCAGTTTATTTAAAGTTATCAATAAAACCATTATCCCCTCCCGAACAGGCTTCTCATTTGAGTTTTTACGACACACCGAGTGTCGTTCAGTGCCGTAAACCGTGTGTGCTGGCGCATGCGCACATTAAGTAAACAGACGGGGTCGCATGTTGGTTTGAAACGTGAAACTAATCAAGTTTGTCTTGAAATCAAAGACGAGCAGCATGAAGGACACACCGCTGTCCAACTGCGAGAAAGACTTTTTATTAAAAGCCATCGAGGAGAAAAAGGTGCGTTTTAAAACATTTTTGAAGAAAATCGGAACGAAAAACAAGAGCTATGAATGAAAAATCCGCTTTTCTACTGTAGAAGCAAACATTTGGAAGGATGTCTTAAATGTATTTAGGATATCGGTAAACCCTTTTAATGGGAAACATGTAAAGTGATTTATTAGTTTTGTTGTGAAGACGGTTAATGTTTATCTGATAGAAGAAATAAAACATATATTAGATGATGGATCTGTGCCGCATCTTTTATTTAACTTTAAACAAAAAGCTGAGGTGCTTTTTATTTCTACTTTCATGTCCCCGTAACTCGATTTAATGACAGCTGATAAATCAGTCAATAAATCAGCACTTTTCTAAAGACAGAATATTTAATTAGTAGGCAACTTAGCAAGGTTTATGGGGTAAAAACTAAAATGTCGCTTTTTTATGTCAAACATTGGAAATAGTTCTTGAAGAGCAGTTTAGTGATGTTCAGTGCAATCTGCCACTTTAAACCCCAAAAAGAAAAAAGTATTAATGATGTAATGTTTGTTGTTATATTGTATTGAAGGAAATATTGACTCAAATGTTATGTAGGCCTTCTGGAGGAGTTATGACATGAACCTGACTTCTGTTAAAATGTCTCTTGAAAATGAGTTCTCGTGGCTCAATGAGACTACCTTTTATAAATAAAGGCTAAAATGAAAAAAATCTGTTTCCAGTTAATATTTACCACATTATTCACTCATCGTCAGCTCCGTTTGTCCCAGAGGAGAAACAACATCTGTAAGTTCTGCATCACAAAGTGACTTTACTCATGTTTTTATCCTGCGGTGGACTCGACTGCAGCGTATTTTTTAAATGTTTGTGATAATTCTCAGTCATGAAGTTCACTACATTGTCATTTTTTTATTTCCTTTCCGTCTCCTCGTGCAGCGGCTGGACGGACGGCAGACCTACGATTACAGGAAGATAAAGATCACGTTTGGAACGGACTACGGATGCTGCTTTGTGGACCTGGGACAAACCAGGTAGTCCTGCGCCTAAAGATTTTGAACATACCTGCAGTGTCTGACGTGGAGCTCCGTTAATATTTAATATTAACCCGTGCATTATTACTGAGATGGTTTGGACATGTCCAGAGGAGGGACAGTGGGTATACTGGTAGAAGGAGGTTAGAAATGCAGCTGCCAGGAAAAAGACAAAGAGGAGACGTATGGACGCAGCTAGAGAGGACATGGAGGTAGTTGGAGTGAAGACAGAGTGAAATGGAGGAGGATGACTCGCTATGGAGACCCTGAAGAAGGAAAAGCTGGAAGAAGAATGATGGTTATCACTTCAACCAGGCGTGAAGAACTCTTTGGGTTCCGATTCTTCTTCTAAACTCTTGTTTCTTCTGTCTTTTCCTCCTCCCTTATATTTCTCCCTTTTCTTCTCCATCTTCTTTCCTCTAGCTGTGCCTCCATCTCCCAGCGTCCTCCTCTGGCACACCATCCCTCTGCAGCTGCTCCTTGACTACATCCACAAACCTTCTCTGTACTCCTCTTCTGTCTCTCCGACAGCTTCATATTTAAGTTTTAAGTCATATTTTTATATCTTGGCAGAAATTAAATAAAGAAAGTAGCTTGTCGCCCGCTGCCTTCAAATAAAAACGTGCTCAGATTATGAGACAGGGATCAGTCTCAGCGACTACACCAGATTTTAGCTCAACGTCTGTAAAACTGACTGAATTATAGCATCGTTTGTGTTGCAGAAGTCCATTAGCTGCGGCGGCCATCTTGAATTGGGCTAACTCCAGTTGTATATACACAGACATGGAGTTTTATTCAAATCCACTGAGGGGTTCATGTGATATTTGAACAAAGAGCCAACAGCTTAAAGTTGTCTGGACGTTTGTTTCAGTTTGGAGTAAACCTTTTTCCCCGATGATGAAGATGGTTTTTGTTTTTGCTCACCTCAGGGTCGTGGCCCAGGTGTCCTGCGAGCTGGTGGCGCCTAAAGAGAATCGTCCGAACGAGGGAATCATGTTCTTCAACATCGAACTGTCACCGATGGCCTCGCCGGCGTTCGAGCAGGGAAGGTGAGGGTGACCCGAGCGCTTCCCGTTTACTGGACCGCGCATCATCGCTCGGTCTGGGTCTGCCCGTGGACGCAGGAAATGACCTGTAGGACTTTGTGTCCCCCGCAGGCCGTCGGAGCTGTCGGTTAAGCTGAACAGACAACTGGAGAGGTGCCTGAGGAACTCCAAGTGCATCGACACCGAGTCCCTGTGTGTGGTGTCCGGAGAAAAGGTGACGCGCCCCCCAGAGCGGAACGACTCGCAGACACAAACACGCGTTTCAGTCGAGGCTCGACACGTTTTATTTTGACACGAAAGCCTCTTTATTCAGGAAACATTCGGACAAACACAAACGGGACGTTTACACCCAGTCCTGCTAGATCCGACGACAATTTCAGGTTTGATTTTGAAAAAGTCTCGAGCGTTCTATATTTTCACGTTTGCGTCATTATTAGGGTTAGTTTTACAAAATCTGTTATTTTTTCTGGAAAAAAAAAAGAACATGTCCATTCAGAGCTTTAGATCATAACTTTCAGTAAAACAAACAAACAAACAAAACAACACCCCCCCCCCCCCCACACACACACACACACAAACTAAAGACCATGAATTTGTGTGTAATCTGGCTCTGTACTATTGGTTAGACACAGTGAATATGTTTGTAGCCAATTAAAAGCTCTTTACATCATAATTAATCCAGTGTGACAACCTGGGTAATTAATATCTTTTATATTGTTTAAACAACTTAATTTTAGTAATTTGTTGTGAAATTAAAATAGAAAAACAAAAACGAATAAAATAGGTTAAAAGTGTTTGTTGTTCCTCGTGTTCACCAGCAGGTGGCAGCAGCTGCAAGCTGGAAAATATTATTATTATTTTTTGTAATTTAATTTTTATTTATTTATTGTATTTATTTTTGGAAACTGAAGTTCCTCTTGACCCAGTTTGCGTCACACTGGGGACTTTCAAAATAAAATACTGTACTTTTTTGTTTGTACTGGATGTGGAGCAGCACAACTAAAAGTGTGAACGCTGTTTTTTCCTTGTACATTTTATTTATTTATTCATTTTTTACAATTGAGCTACTTTTGCATAGTTTGTGCTATGTTAAGCTCTTTCAGGTTTTTGTTTTAAACTTTATTTACAAATATTTTCTCCAGAGAAGTACATTCAGATGTTTTTAATTTCTTAAAAACAAAAACAAATCTTTAAATCAACTTTAATTTTTATGCTACTTTCGGCCATTAGCTAGCTTTTTGACAATTTAGCTTTCAGCTAAGCTTTTGCTCCTTTATCTTTTAGCTGACTTTTGTCGCATTTAGCTCATGTTTAGCTACTTTCAGCTGTTTTTTTTTTCCCAGTGTTTTAACTTTTAGCTTTACCAGCTCTGTTTCAGCTTACAAACAAATTCCACCGAAGTTGTTTTTAATTTATTTTATTTTCGACTTGTGTGTCGGAGGACGCGATGCAGCTCACAGCTGGTGGAGCTTCTTCTGTTGCTCGTCAGGGCTTTTAAAAACTCTTTTCCTCTCGGGCCTGCTGACGCGCTGACCTGCTTCCATTTATTCATCTATTCGTTTTAATAGTTTTTATTTTCATGTATTAAAGTCCTGTTCGTTTTTATCGAGCAGCGCTTTGGTCGGCCATGTTGCTGTTTTAAAATAAAGTGTTTTCTAACGGAAGCGGGTGTGTTTGATCAGGTGTGGCAGATCCGAGTGGACGTTCACACGCTCAACAACGACGGGAACCTGATGGACGCTGCCAGCATCGCCGCCATCGCCGCTCTGTGCCACTTCAGGCGCCCGGATGTGGGCGTCCAGGGGGAGGAGGTGACGGTGGTGAGTCGGCTGCCACTCCGAGGAGGATTCGTTTTGAACTCCGCTTCCGCTAACGCGGCGTCTCGTTCGTGTTTCGTCTCCCCAGTTCAGTCCAGAGGAGAGAGACCCCATCCCTCTGAGTATCTACCACATGCCCATCAGCGTCAGCTTCGCCTTCTTCCAGCAGGGGTGAGCATCATGTCAACCAGATCTATTGTGGGAACACCAAAACAAATCGACGTCTGCAAGGACTGAGCAAGATGTGTTTATTTTATAAATGTTCATGAAGAAACTAGCGTTCCATGAAAGAATCATCCATAAAACTAATGGCGTTGTAGACATTTGTGTGTGGCAGCCATCTTGAATTTGATTGACTCCAGAAAGTATCCAGTTGTAGATATACATCCATTAATTACTTTCCAAGAGTTTCACTAAAATTCAAGCTCTGGTTCATGAGATATTTTGCTAACAGACGCGTGCAAAAACCTTTAATATAAAAAAGGACATCCGTTCAGGCCTTCCCTCTGTTTAAAACCTCGGTGCGACCTGTAGCTGATTGGATGACGGCTGGTCATGTGGGCGTGGTCTCTGCAGGACCTTCCTGCTGGTGGACCCGTGCGAGCGTGAGGAGCAGGTGATGGACGGGTTACTGATGATCGCCATGAACAAACACAGAGAGATCTGCTCCATCCAGTCCAGCGGGGGCATCATGCTGCTCAAAGAGCAGGTGAGCTGGGACCCAGACCAGAACAAACACTTTAGCTGTTTTTCACTTTAAAAGTTTACGCAGCACATGCCGAGTGTGGCATCTTCTGATACTTTGTGATACTTTGTCATTTCTCATGATTAAATTATTTTAGTGTCAAACTCTGACGTGAAAGTTTGATGGTTATAAAGCGGCCGCACGTTAACGTCTGAACGTTTATGAAATGTTCGATTCTGGTCCCGCAGTTTTGAAGAGTTTCAGCAAATCGTAAAAACGTTCAGCTCTTTCAGGGCCGTCCCGCTATGACTTTTGGTATTGGTGCAACTTTAGCTTTTTGAAATATTTAGCCTTTTCTGCCATTTTTGTTTTGTGATAATTTCGTCATATTTTTCCGCATAATTTCCACTTTTTACTTCTCATTTCTGCTTCCTTCAGCCCAATTGAACAGACGTGTTTTTTCCAATCAATTTAAGCTTGTTCTACATTTTCAGCTAGTTTTTTTTTTTTTTTAGCATTTTTAGCAAATTTTAGTTGTTTTCATATAATTTCGACTATTTTGTGCTCATTTCTGCTTCTTTCAGCAAACGTAGCATTTTTAGCTAATTTTAGCAGTTTTCAGATAAATTCAAGTTATTTGTGGTAATTTTGGCTACTTTCAGCCTAATTAACTTATTTCAGTTCACTTCAGCTTCTTATGCTCCTTTCAGCTTTTTTCCTCTTTTTATGCTCCTTTTAGCTTTTTTTCTGATACTTTCAGCTTATTATGCTATTTCATCTTCTATTTAGCTGTTTGTGCTAAATTTAGCTTTTTCAGCTAATTCCATTTTTTGTTAATTTCAGCTCTATCCACTTCCTTCTGTTAAACATTTTTCTGCTTTTTAGCTACTTTTCAGCTGTTTTTGCTAATTTCAGCTTTTTTCAGATAATTTCCACTTTTTTGTGCTCGTTTCTGCTTCTTTCAGCAAACATGTTCTTTCTGCTTTCTTTTGCTAATTTAAGCTTGTTCTACATTTTTAGCTAGTTTTTTTGTTTGAGCATTTTTTAGCTAATTTCAGTTGTTTTCAGATAATTTCCACTGTTTTGTGCTCATTTCTGCTTCTTTCAGCCTAATTAACTTTTTTCTGCTAATTCAGCTTGTCAACTTTCCTTTCAGCTTATTTCTGCTAGTTTCAGTTATTTCAGCTACTATTTAGCTGTTTTATGATCATTTTAGCCTTTTCAGCAAATTCCACATGTTTTGCACTCATTTCAACTTTTTTTTTAGCCTAATTCAGCAAAAAATTGCTCTCTGCTTCCTGCTGGCAATTCAGTTTATTTCTGCTTTTTTAGCTGCTTTTCAGCTGTTTGTGTGCTAATTTCAGCTTTTTTTCATATCATTTCCACTATTTTGTGCTAATTTCTGATTCTTTCAGCAAACAGCATTTTTTAGCTAATTTTAGCAGTTTTCTGATAAATTCAAAGTTATTTGTGATAATTTTGGCTACTTTCAGCCTAATTAACTAATTTCTGATAATTTCAGCTTCTTATGCTCCTTTCAGCTTTTTTCTGATAGTTTCAACTTGTTATGCTATTTCATCTTCTATTTAGCTGTTTTTGTGCTAAATTTGCCTTTTTCCAGCTAATTCCATTTTTAGCTCATTTTAGCTCCATCCACTTTTGTTAGTTTAAGATTTGTTCTGATTTTTGGCTACTTTTCAGCCGTTTGTTTTTTTCTAATTTCAGCTTTTTCTCAGATAATTTCCACTTTTTTATGCTTCTTTCAGCAAACATGATTTTTATGCTTTCTGCTGCCAATTTAAGCTTGTTCTACATTTTCAGCTAGGGTTTTTTTTGTAGTTTTTTTAGCTAATTTCAGCTTTTTTCCAATAAATTCAAGTTTTTTTTGTGGTAATTTCTGCTACTTTCAGCCTAATTAACTTACAGTGACTTCGTTTGCGTCTTCTGATTTGAAACGCCGTCACCTGGTTGTGTTTCTTCCTGCACGTCAGACGATGCTTTAAATGATTTTGGGGATTTTGAGACGTTATGATGATGATTTGTGGAAGAAACCATCTCATTTGATGAAACAATCTCAGAAGAAACAGTTGCAGCAGAAGGCACGTTTTCAGTTTCGTGGCTTTTTTCCACAAAAGATCTTCCAGTTTCGTGAAGCCACCGTTTCACATCTTCAACAAAGCCTGCGTTTCATTTAGCCACGCCTTCAAACCAGCCAGTGTTTTGTTCATCTGTAGGGATCAATAAAATTAATCACGAGCTGCTTTTGCATTTTTATACAGATCATTCAATTTTTCCAACTTAAACTGCACATCTTTTGCATCGTCATCGTTTGTCATCATTTCGTATCACGTGTTAATCCTTTAATTTTGTTCACGTGAGATTGTCGCTCTTTTTGCAAAACTCCCAACAATACACAGTGACTCAACGTGTCCGTGCCTCTGAAGGGTGTGCTGCACTGCGTTCCGCGAACTTCCTCCGTCCAGCGTCGTTTCCAATAAACTCCTTTGTGAATATTGTCCAAACTTATCAAAAAAATTATCCGACCCACAGCGTTATCCGTCCATCCATAAATCCTCTTCAGTCCACAAAATAAAGTCGCTGCCGGCTGAGTAGAGTTTGTTCTGTGAATCCACGCCGAGTCCACCTTGTGTTTTGCGTATTTATTAAAACTAACACAATTACTTTTGCGTCTGGCAAACAGCGCCTGGATTAATTTGCATGTTGCTCAGTTCGACGGTAAAAGCTACTGATCAAAACTGACGATCCTCCAGTGACAGTCAACAGAAACGTTTGCAAGAACCCCTAATAACCCCGCACCTGGTGCAGACCAACTAATTAATACGTGACCACGCCCCTCATGCGTTACCTGCAAGGTTGGACAAATCTGAACACCCGTGCCACCATAAACAACACAACACATAACAGTCATTTTGGCTCTTTCATAACTTATTTCTGCTATTTCAGCTCCTATTTAGCTGTTTTTGTGCTAAATTTAGCTTTTTCAGCTAATTCCATTTTTTTTTGCTCATTTCAGCTCCTTCATGGTAGTTTAAGCTTCTTTTCTTTTCAGCTACTTTGCAGCTTTTTATGCTAATTTAAGCTTTTTTAGCAAATTTTCTAATTGTTGTGCTCAGTTCTGCTTATTTTAACCTAATTCAGCAAATGTGTGTTTTCGCTTGTTCTTACATTTCAGCATGTTTCTATCAAGTTTTTCAGCATTCACTCTGCATTTTCAAAGGAAGTTTAATTTCTCTTGTGTGTCTCACTGAAGGTTATGAGATGCAGTAAAATAGCCAGCGTGAAGGTGTCTGAAATCACAGAGCTCATCAACAAAGCCCTGTTAAACGATAAAACAGCCAGGTGAGCACCATCACCTTTTTTTTTTTTTTTTTAAATCTCAGAGACTTAATTTGAACGTCGTGTGTTTTTAATTTCCACAGGAAGGCGGGCGGTAAGTGTGGCTTTGCGGAGTCCATGCCTCGGGAACGAATCACCGCGCTGAAAACGAACCGGACTGAGGTGGAGATGACCGATGTGAGCGAAAGTGCCGGTGACATCGTTCAGAAAGCAGAAGCCCCGCCTCCAACGTATCCTGAGCCGAGCTTTAAAGACAACAGAACACATTTCTTTATTTTTACCAGTTAGCTGCCTTAATTACACACATTAGGGTGTCGTCGCCTGTGGTGCCAGTACCGGGCGTCGGGCAGATAGGACAGGGTCTGCAGAACACCTGGGGGCTGGAGGAGGAGGAGGAAGGCAGTGGAGAGGAAGAAGAGATGACGATGGAGGAAAAACAAGATGAACACAAGACCTCAAAAGGTTTTGTTTGTTTTAAAGTGATGTCAAATTTAGGTTTATTTTCAGAATAAAACCAGTAATTTATTTTGTCTTACAGTGGCTGTAATTGAGCTGTCTGACAGTGAGGAAGAGGAGGTGGTCGTACTTTATCCTGAGACTGCAAAGTGAGTGCACCATTTCCCCAATTTTAACATAATTACCTTTTTTTTTTTTCTAACTTTGCTTTTATCGTTTAAGAACTGCAGAGTCCAGCCGTGACCAGAAGGGGGCAGCAAAGTCCAAGAAACAGAAGAAAAAATAACCAAGAAAATCGATAAAAATGTTCAAATAAGATTAAATATGGAGGCAAGAACAACCAAATAAATGTTTTTTTTTTACACTTTCACATCTTGTCGTGGATTTAACCAAAAAAAAAAATTGTCTGTGGAGTTAATAAAGGACAGCAGGGTGGTGGATGGAAGATGAGCTGTTAGAAGCGTAATTTATTAAAATGGAAAATTAATTAAGACGAGACATGTTCAGTGAGGAGAGTAAAGTTTGATAAAAATGATCAGGTTCCACCGAGATTTGAACTCGGATCGCTGGATTCAGAGTCCAGAGTGCTAACCATTACACCATGGAACCGGTGAGGGAACAGCGCTAAAAATGGGCTTTTGATTACGTCACAGACGTCGTGGTTTCATATGAGACGTTTATTCAGGGTATGTGGTGTCAGATCATGATTTAATGGTAACGCGATTCGCTACAACCACAAACATAAGTTCTGTAGCGTTTTATTGTGCCTTTATTTGACATCTTCATGTTGCTTGTCATGGCCGGTTAGCTCAGTTGGTTAGAGCGTGGTGCTAATAACGCCAAGG